TGCGGGATTTTTTGTCTCGGCCGTCAGAGGGATTTTTTACCCAAGCCCTTTGAGAGATTTTTTGTTCCAGCTGTGAGAGGGATTTTTTACCCAAGCCCTTTGAGGGATTTTTTGTCTCGGCCTTTAGCGGGATTTTTTACCCAAGACCTTTGAGGGATTTTTGTCCAAGCTGTGAGAGGGATTTTTTACCCAAGCCCTTTGAGGGATTTTTTGTCCCGGCTATGAGAGGGATTTTTTACCCAAGCCCTTTGCGGGATTTTTTGTCTCGGCCGTCAGAGGGATTTTTTACCCAAGCCCTTTGAGGGATTTTTTGTTCCAGCTGTGAGAGGGATTTTTTACCCAAGCCCTTTGAGGGATTTTTTGTCTCGGCCTTTAGCGGGATTTTTTTACCCAAGACCTTTGAGGGATTTTTGTCCAAGCTGTGAGAGGGATTTTTTACCCAAGCCCTTTGAGGGATTTTTTGTCCCAGCTGTGAGAGAGATTTTTTTCCCAAGCCCTTTGAGGAATTTTTCGTCCCAGCCATTAGAGGGATTTTTTGCTCTATCCCCTTGAGGGGTTTTTGGAAGACCTGAGTATAACACAATGAGTTGATGATCTCTAAATCTCCCATCAACAGAACACAAATATACACTGGTACTGTTAATACACACAAAATAATTGTAATATGATTGCAGATGATTTCTTACCAGCAGTTTACTGTTTATCAACTCTGGCTTGAGTAGATAAAGGTATTTATTAGTCATCAGATTGCAATTTGTGGTCATGTATTTAGATCTAAGAAAGAAGAATAAGGAAAAAATGACAACTTTGTGAGGACACTGTAATACTGGCGCTGAATCTGTACACACAGACACAAGGACAACTTTATGAAGACACTGTATCATTGAAACTGAGTCTTAACAGACAGACAAAAAGACAACTTTATGAAGACATTGTATCATTGAAGCTGAATCTGTACACACAGATACAAGGACAACTTTATGAAGACACTGTATCATTGAAACTGAGTCTTAACAGACAGACACAAGGATAACTTTATGAAGACATTGTATTATTGAAGCTGAGTCTGTACAGACAGACACGAAGACAACTTTATGAAGATGCTGTTTCATTCTTAATGCTGCAAACATCTTCCAAATGGACATTGATAGAACTGTCTGTAAACTCTGTAATCCTTCTGATGAGTCCTTCTCTTTCAGCAACTTTTCCAACATTGGTGATGTAATGGAGATGAAACAGTCAGAATGTTTGGGGCTGGCTGAAATATTGCAGGCAGGATTGAGAAAGGTTTGGTTAGGTTTTCCTGTCTGATTAATTGGTTGGAAATATCTGCCACCAAGTAGGAACTTTTGTCTCTAGACCAATACAGCAACATATTAAGTATGTCTCTCCATATATTGTGTAGGAGTCATCTCAGGATGATAATTGTGACAGGACAGGTTTAGAATCATCTTTTCTATTCTCTGCGTAGGGTCCTGGGTCTTGGTGATTCTGTATGAAGTTTATAGATCAACAATATAATGTAAGGTTTATGTTTATCCTATTATAGCTTGATTTAATTTCACCACCACAGTGCCCTAAGTGGTTGAGTACAACAAAGTAGCAGCTAGTTGTGATTGAGGCTGTGGCAGGGCAGCCTGTACATATGACTGGAGATATAAGGGACAGCATGTTACCCCTCTATTTGTTGTTGGAGCAGTCTATCAGCTGTTTTATCTATAGACAGCTTCAAGCCATTTTGTCTTCCAGGTCCTGCTATTAGATCACCATTTGCTGCTATATGTAATCAATCTTCTCTGTCATTGGCATTATTGCCAAGTTTTTTTGTTGTTTTTCTTGGCAGAAAACAACTTGACAATAAATTTGAATCTAACTGCTACAATGGCAACAGGAGATATGACGTCTACTTTTATAAATGCAGTTTAAATCCTCATTAGTTTGCTGTTCTGATCTTTCCTGATAACCATCATGGTGTGTCATGAAACATTCCTAAGTAAGAATTATTCAGATCAACTCATTCACATGAAACCTACAGATCAAATATATCAGAACTAAGGTTTTTTAAGTTTTTTTTTTGTCGGGAGTTTTCATCCATTTGAATATGTACACAGGTCATAGAGAATTTCTATTTGTAAAAGTGATTAAAATTAATTCCAGCAAGCTACAACCTATTAATAGTGTATGGATCTTGATGATAATGAGTTTCTGGCAATACATTCATTTTGGTTCATGTTTAAGAACTTTAAAGTATGTGAAAGGATTTTCTTTCTTTCCTCCCTCCATCTCTCTTCCCTCCTGTCTTTCTTTTTCTTTCTTTCTTTATTCCTTTCTTTCTTCTTTCTTCTTTTCTTAAGGGATGCAAAAACATTGTCTTTACATGAATTACGGACATATTTCAATGTAGCATATTGAAGTTCTGATCGTCTTTGGGCCAGTATTTCCTAATAGCAAATTGAACTCTGAACAACCAAGTACATTGTAGAATCACTCTCAATCCACAGCTTCAATCATCTGCTATATACCAATACCACTGTCCATCCTTGTCAAGGTCAGACTAAAATCTCACCAATTACCATGCTACAGAAACTAGAGTCATTGCTACTCTCATGCCTCTATTACCTTAATTACAGCAGGATTGAATTAATTTATTATGGTGAAGAAAACTAAATGCAATGTGCCCAGTGTTCCCAAGCAGAGTGAGTGACCTAAAGCGTGGAGTCAAGTCCCTGATGCTAGAATCAAATACTGGTAAATATTATTATCTAATGAGTAAGCAAATCTTCACCAATAATAAAATGTAAAGTAAATACATCTACAAATGGTAGCATTGCCTCGCATACTGAAATCTAGGCCTCCTTTTTCACCAGCCAGTTCTAATAATAAACTAAACACCCGCAGTAACAACCTACCTGTAGCAGCAGGTATAACTTCACAAGATTCTGTCAAGTTTTAAAAAAAAAATTTGTAAAGACACCACATTCAATTATACCATGTGTCTGAATTAATATTCATTGAATTCTATGTTATTTGACCAACCTGCAGCATGACAATGATCCTCCAACGCACGAAATATTGTCTATCAACAGAACCCTTTCAATTACTATAAATCATAGCATGTTCATCATTATTGCTTTTTTCAGAACATAATACAAAATTGTATTTTACACAGAAATCGCTCAACAACTCTTCCTACTTAATAATACCTGGATTATGTAATTTCTGTGCTCAAATAAAACATGCCGTAAACACGGCAATTAACGGTAAAATCAATAAATCTAATACCTGGCTGACAACCCAATGAACTGAAATAACACTTAATTCCTAACAATGCCAAACAAAGACTATTACATGATTTTTATTCAGAATTTCATAAGTCATATTAACTTTTACACCAAATGACTCCCACTTCTATAATTTCCCCAATATCTACTTACTGTCTGGTACGTCAGGTAATCATAACAAATTTGAGATCGTAATTAGACTTGGTATAGAACAGTAATAAATAGCCGGTAGCAAACAATAAATTTAATCTGCTCTTCATTTCATTCTATTCCTTTTTTTTTCCTTGCAAAATGAAAGCTCTTTGTCTGATAATACTTTGGCTTATATCTTACAACATGCAATCAAGAATAATTGGTATTTCCAAAATCATATCTCTTAAAATACTTTGGGATCATACCTGAAAACAAATATTCAATACATGCATAAAAAGGATGAACAAGTGAAGCAAATGCTAGATTTTTTTGAAAGTCTGAGAGTATGATGTTTCTAAACAGTTAAAATCTAAACTTTCAACACAATACACACAGCAAATAGAACCTCATGAAGTAATAGAACACAAAACATCAAATGTATCGTACAAAAAAGTGTAAGAGACAATGAGTTATCTCCCCTTATTTTAAAAACTGTATGAACCCTGAATAACAGATTTTATCTAAGCTAATTAAATTCTACAGCACACACAAATTTAAAAGCTCTAAATATACCGTAGCAGGATAACTAGCCGTATGTATTTCATTAGTTCAATACAATGTTTACTGCACCTAGCACACAGATAAGACAGGATTAGAACATGTTTCATTGGTATTTATACCTGTAACACCTTCAGTGTGACTTAATCAGAGAATAAAGTGCAGTAGGTGTTAAAATGAGTGGTTGTATGTGGAGAAATCATCCCACTCTTCTTGTGACTTTATCCAATGTTGTTCACTAACTACTTTATCTTCTAATTCTGTTTATCCTAGTTTTAGGCAACAATTTTATCACTTTATTTATCTATTTTCTTTATCAAGTAAGTAACTGTAAAGATTCAGTTTTCCTAAAATTTTGAGATGAATGGGAATTTTTTCACTTGAATTATGAAACAAACAAGAGGCACATAAGGCCTGTATCGCTCTCCCTGATCTTAAATTTTGTCAACATCCCCTTACTCATTCATGTCTCCTAGCATTTTGTTTAAAAAAATTGACAGATGAGAGATGATGGACAATGAATGAGGGATAACAGATGTAGCAGTTTCCCTATAGCTCACATGGCCCTTCCGGCCAGTTGAGCTAAAAAAGTTTTTGTTTTTGTTTTGAATGCATCCATTTTGTTGAATATTTATTATTTTTGAAATATCAAAAAATATAAACTTCAGAAATGACAACATTTACAATCAATCAACTTTCTTGTATTGTTTTATCCAAACAATAGGATCTATAGCAAAAAAAAAAAAAAACATATTTTAACATTGTATAAAGAATACATAGACAGAGATGTCCACAAATCTTTTTGGTCCTAACTTCTTCAACTTTCCAGTAATGGTTGCTTAGTCTTAGTTTTGCCAGTAACTTTCTATAATTCAAAATAAGGTATTGATGAGTAATTTATCTCCACATTAATTTTTCTTGAGTTGACTGTTTAAGAACTCTTTACAGTATTGAAAGTTGTAAAATATTTTTGACTGATGCGTTTGATAGATGAAGAATGTGTAGCATATAAGTGTATACTGGGCTTACCATTTTTGACCTCATCAGAGTCCGAGTCCGAGTCACTGCTATCACTGGTACTGCTCAGCACACAGCCATAGGTCTTCTCCCACTCTGCGTAGGAGGAAAAGTTATGTCGAAAACCTTGGTTTCGACCTGAAAGCGAAGCAGCACACGAGCTTTAACATGGATTTTCAACCATCACCAACTAGTAACTGTAGCATACAACAGTCAGTTGAAAGTGCTTGCTTATCATTTCATTTTCATTTAAAGAAAATTTCATTTAAAAATATTGAATTATTTTTTAAAGTGGAGATTTCATCTTTGCACCAAATCAATTTTCAAAACATCATTTGACCTATATGGATGAATGACATATCTAATCTGTTTTATACTCTTTAATCCCAACAAGTACCTGACAAAGATTACTTGGTATACTATTTCAGAAATATGATCACATGACTTTCACCATCAGCAGAGTTATCTACCTTACAGATTTTCTTTAAAGTCAGATATAACTGATGTCAATAATTAAACCATCATTTTACATTAGCATTTGTTTAAGTACAATATTTGTATAATACACGTGTTAGATGAAAAAAGATTTTGTCCCATTCTGTATCTCCAAGTGAAAATTTTAAAAGATTGAGAAGTATGAACTGAACATATTTTAATCAGAAGATTTATCACCTCTGATTTTGACAGGTATGGTTATCCAATGAAAACACTATTATGTTTCATATGGGAGTTGTGTTTGAAGAGTTATCTCCCTTACACAATTAGTAATTAATCATTTCTGATTTATTTACCTGACTATTACTAATGTATGCATTGTTCATTAATTGTGTCACCAGCCTTACTTCTAACTCTGAGTTACACGTACTTAATAAGATTCACAATACCGAATTGTTGATACATAAAAACAATATATTTTTATCTTTATTAATACAAAACCAAAATTAAAAGGAGGTCATGCTTGTTACACAAAAAAGTATTAAAAGGCAAATTTAAGTGAATAATGTTTGATCAAACACCATCAATCTTGATTTTATATTTAGCAATGTCTCTAGATTTATCTAAATGATTTAATGATAAAATGGTAAACAAAGCACTTGTAACCGTAGTATGGGTATTCATCACTGACTGTATTGTATCTACATCAAATTATACTATGTCTGGCCTCTAATGCCACAGCAGTCTGGTCTTGAATAAAACTACCGATCAAAGTTGTCACTTGAAACAATTTGATCTTGGTACTACATACATATAATAACTTATAATTTTAGAATTTTGAGAGTTTACCACTGTTGGAAGTTTGATTTTTATGTAACAGCTTACTGAATTTTCAAATGACCCAAAACATGAATGTTTTATAACTAAAAGAAACATTTCATGGAAATACAATACTGGTCTTCTCTTAGTTAACTTTACAATGAAGTAACAACTTTGATTAATTTAATTAAACTATGACACTAGCTTCAGACAAGGCCTGACTTTCACAGACACAGCTACAGAGCCTGGCGACACGTGCGAAATGTAATACTACCTTCACTGAGAGCCTGACTCTCTGTGTCTGAGTGATTGTCAGATTCAGAAAAATCTCTTGGATCATCCAACTCCAAAGGAGTTAGGTACTTACTACGAGCTGAAAAATATCAGTAAATTATAACACAAAGAAATCTATTATTACAAACATCATCAATGTAACATTATCAATATTGTTATATATTATCATTACAAATGCTCAACTTTCAACAGAAAATCACTTTTTTGGTAAATTTTCTATATCAGGGATCTATTACGACAGTTCCCACCAATAACATACATTATGTGTATCATCCCTGTAACCCCTGGAAACTCGAAGACGAGTTATTTCCTGGAGGGGGAGTATGTATCTCTTAAGCTTGATAGGTCTAGCGTCAGACTAGTAAGCCAGGGGTCTTGGGTTTGATTCCTAGCGGAGGCATTGAAATAAATAATAACCTCTGTTACATGTTGGTTTATATATCAGGGATCTACTACATCAGGTCCCACCAATAACATACATCATGTGTAATATGTTGGTTCAGCCCCATTTTTATATCAGGGATCTACTACGTCAGGTCCCACCAATAACATACATCATGTGTAATATGTTGGTTCAGCCCCTTTTTATATCAAGTTACTACATCAGGTCCCACCAATAACATACATTATGTATAATATATTGGTTCAGCTCCTTCTTAATATCAGGGATCTACTACGTCAAGTCCCACCAATAACATACATCATGTGTAATATGTTGGTTTAGCCCCGTTTTATATCAGGGATCTAGTACATGGTCCCTACATTATCATACGCCATTGTCTGGGCCATTTGCAAATCTTATTTACGGGGCTCAGCCTCTTCTTAGAAAAGATCACAACAATATACAGGAGTAATGAGATCCTATGTTAAACAGTTGTCAACATCCGTTTCTCTTCAGTTCAGTGAACACGAGTTAAGGACACATGATAATTCAAAATATATTTAAATCCACTAAATACCATAGAGCTCTGATACAATAACTATAACAATACTTCTAATAATAAATATTATAGGAATCACTCGTCAAGAATACACACTGACAACAGGCCAAGAAATTCCACTTGGCTAACCCCATACACTGGACAACCATAGAACTGCTGACATGAGTAAACCTCATACAAAACATTCTGCTGTACTCAAGTCAGCTGACAGCCTGGGAAGATTGTCACCAGTACATTGTCTGATTCTAAATAAATCTTTTAAGTCATATGCGTTTGAATTCACATTTTGCTGAGATATTTTGTATTTCTTTGGACATGGTCATTTTTTGATAAAATTTCTCCAGATTGATAACATTGTATCATTGGTTTTGACAAATACAAAAGCTGGGATTACAAAATACAAACTCATCTGGAATATTGCCTTAGTAAACCTTTGTAGGGTTTTCCATGAAATTCCATTGCAAAATAAACTTGTGAGCGTTGATTGAAATCGAGTGAAATAAACAAAGGGTGATAACTCTATGATATAAGGAATGTAAGTTACAAAACACAAACTGGACAGAAATATTGCCAGAATATACCAATATATCAAGTCTTGTGAAATTCTATTGGGAGATAAAGTTTCTAGCGCACTGACAAGAAGGTGTAACATGAGTTTGGGCCAAATCCTTTATCCCGGTCCAAACTTTGTTTGTGAGGGAATAAGAAAGCTGAACCTTTTTTTATGGGCTTTACTTTAACACATTCATCCTTATCATTCCCACAGAAAAACAGGTGTGTGTAGTTATATGACAGTTCATCTATTGGAATCTAACATAAAAAATTTAGTATGACTTAAGTCTAAGTATTACAGCTGGTAAACCAAAGAAATTCTTCCTTGGTATAAAAGTTCTTAATCTCCTTTTATATCTGTCCCTGAACCAACAACCATCAAAAGCAAACATATATTTTAAGGTGAGAAGTAGTAAAATGATCAAATAGTTAGAATGTCCATCCAACCAACAAACATCAAACAAAATTACACAGCAAATTCAACGTACTGATCCATATATCTGTCAGTCAATTAAAAGCATGTAAACAGACATGTGGAGATTTTCACCTTTACAGAACTACTCAGGAGCGATCCTTCCAAGGCCGTTTTTTCTTTACCTTTAAAGAGTTCCACCACTAATGACTGTCACACTGACTAATTATTTGATCAACATGTACATGAATTTTCTTTATTCTACATCAATTAAACCATTTTTTGTATTTGTTGTGTTTGTAAAACTTAAGTACATGTCTCTAACACGATCTTTTTTTCACAAATTACATGAATATTATGATTTATAAAGACCAGGATCTTTCCCTTTGTTAGTCGTTCAGGGATCTTCTCATTAAATTTTAATTTGACTTGAGATAAGCTTTTTACAAGCCAATTCTGTTTGACAGGCTACACAATGGTTCTAACAGGAACCATTAACTATGGAGAAAGGCCCATTTGTCACTAGTGTGTGTAGGGACTCCAACAGCTTTTGTAGGTTACTAAAAAGGGCATCTAAAAAGTCTGATAGGTAAGTGAGCAACACGCTTACCACTAAACTGTTCAAAATGTAAATCAATTCTAATAACGCTTTATTACAGCCAGATTGTAGGAGTTATTACAGGAATGTTCTGTAAACACTCAGCACTGAATGTGTCCATTTTGTCAGAATCAATACGACAACAGCTGCACACAAGTTTCAACTTACCATGGTAATTTGCTGTGATTAAATTTATTTATTTTCATCTCATAACCTGACAGGTACCAATACTTCTGATCGATAAACAGAATCATTAGCTCTAACAAAAATCTAAATTTCAAAGATTTGGAATAAGATTTTTTATTGCAGAGAAACACGACAAATAGTATACAGGAACATTCGTGCGTCAATTTAACAGTGTCATCATGGAATTTGATACCTTAAATACCTGTGCGAATATGACGGAATTGGACACTCCAAATACATGTACAGATATCACCACCACCTGTGTTAAGTACCAAACATACCCCAGGTCCTTATATACCCCAATACACATCAAACTTATCTCACATACCCTTTACTGGCACTGGGGATCAAACCACAAAAAAACAATTGTCATTTACATATTGTGATAACATCATATTTCAAACCTAGACCTTACAGAAATAGTTACAGGACTTTCCACAAAAAACAAGTGATAATCTATTGAAAGCATGTGTAGGCAACTCTTCTTAAAGTTTTTTTAAAATAGCTATCTAAATTAAGACAGATTAGAGAAACTACTATTAAGTACACAAGAGAATCACAGAAAGGGTGTTGTTTAAAATGTTAGCACAAAGTCAGTTCTTTATAAACAGTTTAGTTATAAAGGGTACTATAAGTTCTTTATAAATAGTTTAGCTAGGAAGGGTACTGTCAGTTCTTTGTAAATAGTTTAGCTAGGAAGGGTACTGTCAGTTCTTTGTAAATAGTTTACCTAGGAAGGGTACTGTCAGTTCTTTATAAATAGTTTAGCTAGGAAGGGTACTGTCAGTTCTTTATAAATAGTTTAGCTAGGAAGGGTACTATAAGTTCTTTATAAATAGTTTAGCTAGGAAGGGTACTGTCAGTTCTTTGTAAATAGTTTACCTAGGAAGGGTACTGTCAGTTCTTTATAAATAGTTTAGCTAGGAAGGGGACTGTCAGTTCTTTATAAATAGTTTAGCTAGGAAGGGTATTGTCAGTTCTTTATTAATAGTTAACCATGGCAGAGTGCTGTCAGTTCTTTATAACCAGTTTAGTCAGGAAGGGTACTGTCAGTTCTTTATAAACAGTTTAGTCAGGAAGGGTACTGTCAGTTCTTTATAAACAGTTTAGTCAGGAAGGGTACTGTCAGTTCTTTATAAACAGTTTAGTCAGGAAGGGTACTGTCAGTTCTTTATAAACAGTTTAGTCAGGAAGGGTACTGTCAGCTCTTTATAAACAGTTTACCATGGAAGGGTATTGTCAGTTCTTTATAAACAGTTTAGTCAGGAAGGGTACTGTCAGTTCTTTATAAATAGTTTAGCTAGGAAGGGTACTGTCAGTTCTTTATAAATAGTTTAGCTAGGAAGGGTACTGTCAGTTCTTTGTAAATAGTTTACCTAGGAAGGGTACTGTCAGTTCTTTATAAATAGTTTAGCTAGGAAGGGGACTGTCAGTTCTTTATAAATAGTTTAGCTAGGAAGGGTACTGTCAGTTCTTTATAAATAGTTTAGCTAGGAAGGGGACTGTCAGTTCTTTATAAATAGTTTAGCTAGGAAGGGGACTGTCAGTTCTTTATAAACAGTTTAGTCAGGAAGGGTACTGTCAGTTCTTTATAAATAGTTTAGCTAGGAAGGGTACTGTCAGTTCTTTATAAATAGTTTAGCTAGGAAGGGTACTGTCAGTTCTTTATAAATAGTTTAGCTAGGAAGGGTACTGTCAGTTCTTTATAAACAGTTTAGTCAGGAAGGGTACTGTCAGTTCTTTATAAATAGTTTAGCTAGGAAGGGTACTGTCAGTTCTTTATAAACAGTTTAGTCAGGAAGGGTACTGTCAGTTCTTTATAAATAGTTTAGCTAGGAAGGGTACTGTCAGTTCTTTATAAATAGTTTAGCTAGGAAGGGTACTGTCAGTTCTTTGTAAATAGTTTACCTAGGAAGGGTACTGTCAGTTCTTTATAAATAGTTTAGCTAGGAAGGGTACTGTCAGTTCTTTGTAAATAGTTTACCTAGGAAGGGTACTGTCAGTTCTTTATAAATAGTTTAGCTAGGAAGGGGACTGTCAGTTCTTTATAAATAGTTTAGTCAGGAAGGGTACTGTCAGTTCTTTATAAATAGTTTACCTAGGAAGGGTACTGTCAGTTCTTTGTAAATAGTTTAGCTAGGAAGGGTACTGTCAGTTCTTTATAAATAGTTTAGCTAGGAAGGGGACTGTCAGTTCTTTATAAATAGTTTAGTCAGGAAGGGTACTGTCAGTTCTTTATAAATAGTTTACCTAGGAAGGGTACTGTCAGTTCTTTGTAAATAGTTTACCTAGGAAGGGTACTGTCAGTTCTTTGTAAATAGTTTACCTAGGAAGGGTACTGTCAGTTCTTTATAAATAGTTTAGCTAGGAAGGGGACTGTCAGTTCTTTATAAATAGTTTAGTCAGGAAGGGTACTGTCAGTTCTTTATAAATAGTTTACCTAGGAAGGGTACTGTCAGTTCTTTGTAAATAGTTTACCTAGGAAGGGTACTGTCAGTTCTTTATAAATAGTTTAGCTAGGAAGGGTACTGTCAGTTCTTTGTAAATAGTTTACCTAGGAAGGGTACTGTCAGTTCTTTATAAATAGTTTAGCTAGGAAGGGGACTGTCAGTTCTTTATAAATAGTTTACCTAGGAAGGGTACTGTCAGTTCTTTGTAAATAGTTTAGCTAGGAAGGGTACTGTCAGTTCTTTATAAATAGTTTAGCTAGGAAGGGTACTGTCAGTTCTTTATAAATAGTTTAGCTAGGAAGGGGACTGTCAGTTCTTTATAAATAGTTTAGTCAGGAAGGGTACTGTCAGTTCTTTATAAATAGTTTAGCTAGGAAGGGTACTGTCAGTTCTTTATAAATAGTTTAGCTAGGAAGGGTACTGTCAGTTCTTTGTAAATAGTTTAGCTAGGAAGGGTACTGTCAGTTCTTTGTAAATAGTTTACCTAGGAAGGGTACTGTCAGTTCTTTATAAATAGTTTAGCTAGGAAGGGGACTGTCAGTTCTTTATAAATAGTTTAGCTAGGAAGGGTATTGTCAGTTCTTTATTAATAGTTAACCATGGCAGAGTGCTGTCAGTTCTTTATAACCAGTTTAGTCAGGAAGGGTACTGTCAGTTCTTTATAAACAGTTTAGTCAGGAAGGGTACTGTCAGTTCTTTATAAACAGTTTAGTCAGGAAGGGTACTGTCAGTTCTTTATAAACAGTTTAGTCAGGAAGGGTACTGTCAGTTCTTTATAAACAGTTTAGTCAGGAAGGGTACTGTCAGCTCTTTATAAACAGTTTACCATGGAAGGGTATTGTCAGTTCTTTATAAACAGTTTAGTCAGGAAGGGTACTGTCAGTTCTTTATAAACAGTTTACCATGGAAGGGTATTGTCAGTTCTTTATAAACAGTTTACTATGATAGTGTGTTATCAGTTCTTTATAAACAGTTTACCATGATAGTGTGTTGTCAGTTCTTTATAAACAGTTTACCATGATAGTGTGTTGTCAGTACATTATAAGAACTTTTATAAAATTCTGAGATGAGACCCATATCTCTCTTTGTGTTGTACACTATAGGAATCTGTATATGTAGAAGTATTTGGTAGGTATTGCTGGCATTGACAACTCACTACCTCCTTGGCTAAGGATTGATCTCGAATAACAGCTTACAGCAAGTCAGACAATAGACGGATTTATTCTGGTAGCCATTTCCAATGCTCAGATATAAGGTACTTACACTTTCCAAAAGCAGTAAAGTCCACAGGACGAAACGACAAATCAATTTCAAATGGATTTTCATGCTCGCGTCCAAAGTTATTGCTGGTGTTGTAGCATGCTCCTGATGGCCTGCTGTTGGGCCTAGTATGTCCCTTGTACTTTCCAACGGTGGTCATAACGATGTATAGTACCACAGATCATAATTTCCAAGTTCTACTGAAGTAATTCCTTATATAGCCTTTATAATGAAAGGCATCAAACACAGGAACCAAACACATGTAATATCCATGGAATACGTCCAACATTGCTCCTACATGACAAGAGTCACAGATCCTTGAAATATTAATTAGCTGCTGTTAACACCTGATGGCCACTTTACACTAGTGGTCAATCATGGTACCTTATAACCAACAGGATTTACATACAGTGCCTACAATCCTTATGTTTGGTAACATAACATACCGGCTGTATTAATACCTATACCCTAATACACCGGCAGCGCCCCCAAGTTAAGAGGAGATTAAGTGATTAACAAAAGATCAGATATACTGGAATGCTTTTTACTGTGGATCAATGGAGGCACGACCAGGGTCGCTCCACCGGCCGTTACACGCCTCCCGATAGAAGATCTTGTCTCCCCTGCTTTGTACGGCTTGTGTCGAGGTTTTGTTGTCTTACTTATTAAGTGGAATTATTTGTCGTTTGCCACGCGAGATGTAAACAAATACTGCTAGAGTTGAAACAGACACTGTTTACCGAGAGATCTGTACAGCTCTAACCTATCTGAGCTCACATGTTCATTATACAATATTACTAGGACTGATACTGCAAAATTTTGTTTGCATTAATATTTCATTGGAAATCTGATAGTGTAGTTAAAGTATCTCTAACTGGTCCTGAATACAAATATCCATTAAATAAAAGTCCTCGATAGGAAAATTATCTATTGAAATAAAATTCAACATATTGTCAATATATTCATATATATATATATACTAGTCTATAGTACAAAGATTCAAATAAATCATTGATGTAATCCCAGATTGCAGACAATATGTTTTCACTACATACAGGTTTTGTGTTATTTATAAAGTCTAGTTGTCACACAGATAATCTACATTCTACATTCAGGTTTCTACACCAAATCCTCCAACAGAGGGATAAACAGTCAAAACCTCATTTATATATGCCAGCTGAACAGACTTTTTTCTGTCTTTTCACTTGCAACAATTTAACAAACAGCTATTTCAGAGTTAATTGTATGTGCAAGGTAAGATAAATACCGATAGGCTATTCAGTGCACTGCTGACTCCAGGAGTGATAGTACACAGCGACGAAACATACCACATACTCCTAGTAACAAACTTCTACTAAACCTCCAAATCAATTGTACTGATATATGTTTACCATATTCTATGGATCGTTCGGGGGTAGATAATGCATTTCAGAAATCATTGTCTGTGTGTAGCTTATTCCTACACGCCTGAAGCCATGTCAGGTGTCTGTAAAAACATTAATAGCAACAATATCAACAGCAGAGTAATCAATATTCCAGTAAAGAGGTTGTAGTATGACACGATTCTAATAGTTTTAAGCATATGACATCATTATAAATGTTATCTCATCATCATGTTTAATCTCTTTCCCAGCATCAGTAACAATCATCACCTCACATCAGTGGAGTCTTTATCTAATCTCATCCTATTCATTATTAATAAAAAGTTACATATAAGTAAAGTGAGGGACTAGTTGTCTTGAAAAGATTTTGAGAAATATTTAGGAAATTTATTTCATAGATTGACCGACAAACAAATGATGAAACCCATTTGTTATATCCCCCGTCAGACCAGGTAAAAAATCTTAGTGTTTGTTACATACTGTATATCATTTAGAGCATATTAACAGATGGCCAAAGTTAACACTGAAGAAAAACAAATATCAAATCTTACTTAATAAACAACAGGTTGTATTTACAGTATACAGACAAGCATTTGTCATTTTCATGCCACCTATATTTCACCTTGAAACATTAACACCTATATTTTACCTTGAAACATTAACACCTATATTTTACCTTGAAACATTAACACCTATATTTTACCTTGAAACATTAACACCTATATTTTACCTTGAAACATTAATACCTATATTTCACCTTGAAACATTAACACCTATATCTTACCTTGAAACATTAACACCTATATTTTATCTTGAAACATTAACACCTATATTTTACCTTGAAACATTAATACCTATATTTCACCTTGAAACATTAACACCTATATCTTACCTTGAAACATTAACACCTATATTTTATCTTGAAACATTAACACCTATATTTTACCTTGAAACATTAATACCTATATCTTACCTTGAAACATTAACACCTATATTTTATCTTGAAACATTAACACCTATATTTTATCTTGAAACATTAACACCTATATTTTACCTTGAAACATTAATACCTATATTTCACCTTGAAACATTAACACCTATATTTTACCTTGAAACATTAACACCTATATTTTATCTTGAGCATTAACACCTATATTTTACCTATATTTCACCTTGAAACATAAACACCTATATTTTACCTTGAAACATTAACACCTATATTTTACCTTGAAACATTAACACCTATATTTTACCTTGAAACATTAACACCTATATTTTACCTTGAAACATTAATACCTATATTTTACCTTGAAACATTAACACCTATATTTTACCTTGAAACATTAACACCTTTATTTTACCTTGAAACATTAACACCTATAGGTAAAATGTAAAATTTTACCTATATTTTACCTTGAAACATTAACACCTATATTTTACCTTGAAACATTAACACCTATATTTTACCTTGAAACATTAATACCTATATTTTACCTTGAAACATTAACACCTATATTTTACCTTGAAACATTAACACCTATATTTTACCTTGAAACATTAACACCTATATTTTACCTTGAAACATTAACACCTATATTTTATCTTGAGCATTAACACCTATATTTTACCTATATTTCACCTTGAAACATAAACACCTATATTTTACCTTGAAACATTAACACCTATATTTTACCTTGAAACATTAACACCTATATTTTACCTTGAAACATTAACACCTATATTTTACCTTGAAACATTAATACCTATATTTTACCTTGAAACATTAACACCTATATTTTACCTTGAAACATTAACACCTTTATTTTACCTTGAAACATTAACACCTATAGGTAAAATGTAAAATTTTACCTATATTTTACCTTGAAACATTAACACCTATATTTTACCTTGAAACATTAATACCTATATTTTACCTTGAAACATTAACACCTATATTTTACCTTGAAACATTAACACCTTTATTTTACCTTGAAACATTAACACCTATATTTTACCTTGAAACATTAACACCTATATTTTACCTTGAAACAATTAACACCTATATTTTACCTTGAAACATTAATACCTATATTTCACCTTGAAACATTAACACCTATATCTTACCTTGAAACATTAACACCTATATTTTATCTTGAGCATTAACACCTATATTTTACCTATATTTCACCTTGAAACATAAACACCTATATTTTACCTTGAAACATTAACACCTATATTTTACCTTGAAACATTAACACCTATATTTTACCTTGAAACATTAACACCTATATTTTACCTTGAAACATTAATACCTATATTTTACCTTGAAACATTAACACCTATATTTTACCTTGAAACATTAACACCTTTATTTTACCTTGAAACATTAACACCTATAGGTAAAATGTAAAATTTTACCTATATTTTACCTTGAAACATTAACACCTATATTTTACCTTGAAACATTAATACCTATATTTTACCTTGAAACATTAACACCTATATTTTACCTTGAAACATTAACACCTTTATTTTACCTTGAAACATTAACACCTATATTTTAACTTGAAATATTAACACCTATATTTTACCTTGAAACAATTAACACCTATATTTTACCTTGAAACATTAACACCTATGTTTTACCTTGGAACATATCAATTACACCTATATTTTACCTTGAAACATTAACACCTATATTTTACCTTGAAACAATTAACACCTATATTTTACCTTGAAACATTAACACCTATGTTTTACCTTGAAACATTAACACCTATGTTTTACCTTGGAACATATTAATTACACCTATATTTTACCTTGAAACATTAACACCTATATTTTACCTTGAAACATTGACACCTATATTTTACCTTGAAACATGATCTCCCATATTTTTATCAATCTATAGGTAATAGGGGAAGGTAAAAGTTAGACCAAAATGTCCAATATTCAGTTTTTCCTTATATATTCATACACATCAAATGAGTTGTTAGTTACTAAAGAAGAAAACAGAACTGCATCTTACAAAGATCAGTTTAAATGAAGACAAGTGTATTAACTGAATCATGTCTGCTGGTAAGTCTACTATTGTTAATTGTTAAACAAATTTTACATTATAATTTTTAATTCAAATCATTTACTTCTTATCATGTCGAAACTACTGACTCTGTTTAATATTTGCACAATGTTCAAGAAAGAATATAATTTGTTGTAAATAAAGAATACAAAAGAACTCAAAGTCATTCAGAATTAAAGAAATAATTCAAGCTAAAAATTCTCAAGTTCTGAGCGACTAAGGATACAATGTGCTCTATATATAGTCAACATAAGTATTTAGCTAACTTGAAAATTATTATCAAAAGGTTAAACCGACAAAATGATAATTATTTAAATGCTTTTGGTTGAGTTGTGTATCTTTGTCATCATACTCCTGGCTGTGTGTACACGTATAGGGTGTGCTCCATTCAGATCTAGTCATGCTTGGATCAAGTGCTTGGTATAATTAGCTGAATGCATTGATTCCTTGTTCTCTATCTTCTCTGCCTAACTATACCTATAGTTCTGGTCTTTAGAAATTAAACATTCAAAACTGAATTCAATATAGAGGCTCAGATTTATAAACACTTGTATCAGACACAAAAGGAGTGGAAGATCGCGTAACAACAGGACCCGATTTGGTCCTCACCTTAAATATGGTAAGTATACATTTGGTGTGGCTTTGTGTGATATTCCATGGCTTCAGAAGGGTCTATTTGTGTTGGGAAACACTGTAAAA